AGTGGAAGATGGCCTTTGTGTCAGGTATGTGCCATTTGCCTTCCCCATGAAAAACTATCCAAATTTGGCCAAGCCACATGCCTTGTAAAAACAAAACAAAATTACAGTTCACAAATGCCTGGAGACTTGTGAAACCTTTTCCAGCTAAAATCTCTGAAAATACTGTGCACACTGAGTATGTTCCAGCCTGGGGCAAAGCACGACTTTCTGTCTGATTGAATTGCGAAAGAATAGAGTGTGGGTCTGGGTCCACCTCCGCCCTCACAAGTAACTGGGGGAAGTGAGTTGGACATTGAGGTACCCCAGAGGGGGCAATTGAACTATAATGGCATAGTGGAAGAACTGGGACCAGAAAGGCCCTGAGAGGACAAAGACTTTGCTTCCAGGAAAGGAGCCCTGCGGCAATACTCTTGTCCAGAATGGAGACAGAGAGAGACAGTACAGAGGTGTTTGTGAGCTTCCAGAATATATCCCATGATATACTTATACTTCTGTAGGTCATCATTTGATTTTTGTTGTAGTTGTTAAACCATTCATTTTATAACTTTATAAGATGTTATCCAGATAGAGAAGTCAAGGAGGCTTATTGTTGCAGACATAAATGGCAGTTTATATTCTTGCATAAAATAAGAATTTAGAGTCCTTTTCTGTATTTTTAACAGATGCTCAAAATGAAAAAGCTGGCTCATCTGTTCTACCTACGCAGGTACCTCAGCCATCATCTTCTACATATGATCCAAACATGCCAACTAGTAATTATACTGGCATACATATTCCACCTGGTGCACATGCTCCAGCCAACACTCCAGCTGAAGTACCTCATAGCACAGGTATGTTGTGTTTATATCCAAGAACACAGATTTACTTTTACTTGTAAGGTGCTTTGTCATTCCACAGTAACCTCTTCTCTGGTTATGTATGTAGTATAATAAGCTGCAATATTGTATGCTAGAAGATTTACCCAGCAGTGTGCAGGCTGCTCTGGAAAGAGAGGTAGTTCTACCCCAGTCCTCTCTTCATTGAGGAAGGCAGACTTCAGGCCCAAGGTAATTTTGGAAGGTTCCTCCCATGATGACCATTGTATATAAAGATCCACTGCTACAACTACAATGTGTCTTTCAATAATAAAGCTGATGACTTTAAAAAAATATTTTTATTTATATATATATATATATAAAGTAATTAGCTATTCCTTTCTCCACTCCTGCCCCCTTCAATCACATAGGGTTATAGCTGTCCTGGTCCATCAAGGACAAGGGCTTGTTTAGGAATATGCTTTTTTTCTTCCCTTGCTCATTCTCTACAATCAGTTTGCCAGTCCTTGGTAACAAGTCAGTGTTAGTTACTTTATCCCACCGTATTCCTCTGCATCTTTACCAGTATTGAAAAAGCCCCTCTTACCATCCCAGTTCTTGCTTCCATCTCCTTATGGAATTGGTCATTAACACTCATTCTGTATCCAAGATACACAGTCTAGTTCAGGGGTGGTGAACTTTTTTGGGTCGGGGCTCACTGATGTGACCCCCGACTGAGAAGGAGAAAGACACTCCCCACACTCCCTTCACACACCAGAATTTTAAGGGGTTCCAGACTAGTAGATTTTGTGTGCTCCTACCCCACAGAGGGATAGCAGGAGGGCTGGAGCACCAATGTGGACTCCCCAATGCTGGAGGGAGAGCCCCAAGCCTCAAGGGCTGGATCCCCCAGGCCTTAGGTTCCCCATCCCCAGTCTAGCTAATTATTCCATATTCTTGTCTATCAATAATACATGCACCTTTATTACTGACCATTATTCAATCATTATTCAATGATCATGACTTTTGTTTTTTTTTTACTTATCCTTTATCTAATTTAGCAGCCTCACATTTGACATTGAGAGTCTTTTTCATAGCATCATCATTTGTGTCCAAGAGAACAATGTCATCTTTGAAGTTTTCCTGTAATACACGTAACGTCTATATCTTCCTTTAATGTTGCTCTTGGCATCATGTTGTTTTTCACAGAACAGAAATGATGAGGTGATAAAATGCAACCCTACTGCACTCCAGTAATGATAGCAAACCATTCTCTTCACATTCTGTCCATTTTGAACCTTCATATCTTATCTTGACCTTTCTTCCTAGGAAGTCTATATTGTCACAAAGTTGTCCATAGTAACTCTATGAATGTATTAGAGGGGTAGCCGTGTTAGTCGTAATGTGCATAAACAATGAGAAATCCTGTGGCAACTTATAGACTAACAGATTTATTGGAGCATGAGCTTTCGTGGGCAAAGACCCACTTCATGAGATAAAAGAAAGCTTATGCTCCAATAAATCTGTTAGTCTATAAGGTGCCACAGGACTTCTATGAATGTAGTCGAAAGCTTTCGTTAAATATACAAAGTTCAAGATTAATCTTCTGTGGTAAGTGAACCCCTGCTCAGTTAGACATTTCATAGAAGCATAGAACACTAGAAATGGAAGGGACCTCGAGAGGTCATTGAGTCCAGGACCCAGTACCGTATAGATCATCCCTGATCTAACCTGCTCTTAACTGTCTCCAGAGATGGAGATTCCACAACCTCCATAGGCAACTTATTCCAATGTTTAACCACTCTAACAGGAAGTTTTTCCTAATGTCCAACCTAAACCGCCCTTGCTGCAATTTAAGCCCATTGCTGCTTGTCCTATCCTCAGAGGCCAAGGACAACAATTTTTCTCTCTTCCTTGTGACACACTTTTAGATATCTGAAAACCGGTATCATATGCCTTCTCAGTCTTCTCCTTTCTAGACTAAATAAGCCCAGTTATTTCAGTCTTTCTTCATAGGCCGTTTTCTCTAGACCTTTAATCACTCTTGTTGCTCTTCTATGGACCTTCTCCAATTTCTCCACATCTTTCTTGAAATGTGGTGCCCAGAACTGGACACACTACTCCAATTGAGGCCTAATTAGCACAGAGTAGAGTGGCAAAATGACTTCTCGTGTCTTGCTCGCAACACTCCTGTTAATGCATCCCAGAATCATGTTTGCTTTTTTTGCAACAGCAGCATACTGTTGGCTCATATTTAGCTTGTGGTCCACTATAACCCCTAGATCCCTTCCTAGACAGTCGCTTCTCAGTCTGCTGTATATGTGAAACTGATTGTTCCTTCCTAAGTGGAGTACTTTTGCATTTGTCCTTATTAAACTTCATCCTATTTACCTCAGACCATTTCTCCAGTTTGACCAGGTCATTTTGAATTATGACCCTATCCTCCAAAGCAGTTTCCACTCCTCCCAGTTTCATCTGATGGTAAAGAAGTAGTTCACACACTATCTTTTTGGTCTAAGGCTTGACTGCTTGTTATGCATATTTTTTATCTATGACCTTTCTGATTTTGTTCTGTAACATTCTTTCTCCCAAACTATATTACAAAGATTACTACCACATACTCATTAGCTTTAAGCATTTCAGCAGTATTCTTATCTTAGCAAGTACTTTTGTCATTTTTAGCTGATTAATATCTTTCTCTTTCTGTTTCTGAATTTTCTAGCAGTGAAATATTTAATTATTCACCTTCTTCACGTCCATCAATACAAATTGTTGTCTCTGGTTGGTATAGTAGTTCATTAAAGTGTTGTTACCATTGTTCCTTTTGTTCTGCTTCCATTAGCAATCTTCCATCTTTTTTATTTTATCATTTTAATGTAGCTTAGGAGCTATGTTAACAATTGCTTATACATCTGAAAGAGTTATCTAGTGTCATCTTTAACCAATGCCCCTCTCAATCTCACACACACACACATACCTACCCCTTTCTGGTATAACTTCTTTGTTTCTTTATCTTCCTGTACATGAACCCTTTGCAGAATGCATTTTTCTTTCTGCTTGTGACACCCATGCTTACCTCCCTTTTTTTAAAGACTTTTCTTTCCTCTTTTGTTTTCCATGCACGTAGCTGTATCCACTTTTCTGTCGTTGATCCTCTTGGTCCAAATGAAATTATTGCATCTTACCAGCAGACATCTCTAAAGAAAGCCCATTTTTCCTCTGTACCATCACTTGTCACCTGCAGCTTTTCTAATTAATTGGAGAGGTCGATTTTTAACTCCCTCCTGATTCCCAGGTCAGACAGTTTCTTTACATCAAATACTATCTCTCTTTAGGGGTTTTTTTCAGCTTTTTTTCTAACTGTTCCAATGACAAGGTAGTGGTTACTTTCTATGTCAACATTTGTAAAAGATCTTGAACCCTGCAGTGATTTTTCTCTACCGTCTTTTAGGCAGCATAATCCAGTTGTTTCTCAGCAATTTCATCATTTGACTTCCATGTTAGTTTGTATTCCCTG